GTACAGTTAAGGGGTTAGCTCTAGAAGCTTCAGTTAAAGGATTAGCTGTGGAATGTACAGCTCTAGAAGCTACAGTTAAAGGATTAGCTGTGGAATGTATAGTTCAGGGGTGAGCTCTAATAACTACAGTTAAAGGATTAGCTGTGGAATGTACAGCTCAGGGGTCAGCTCTAGAAGCTACAGTTAAAGGATTAGCTGTGGAATGTACAGCTCAGGGGTTAGCTCTAGAAGCTACAGTTAAAGGATTAGCTGTGGAATGTACAGTTCAAGGGTTAGCTCTGGAAGCTTCAGTTAAAGGATTAGCTGTGGAATGTACAGTTAAGGGGTTAGCTCTAGAAGCTTCAGTTAAAGGATTAGCTGTGGAATGTACAGCTCTAGAAGCTACAGTTAAAGGATTAGCTGTGGAATGTATAGTTCAGGGGTGAGCTCTAATAACTACAGTTAAAGGATTAGCTGTTGAATGTACAGTTCAAGGGTTAGCTCTAGAAGCTACAGTTAAAGGATTAGCTGTGGAATGTACAGCTCTAGAAGCTACGGTTAAAGGATTAGCTGTGGAATGTACAGTTCAAGGGTTAGCTCTAGAAGCTGCAGTTAACGGATTAGCTGTGAAATGTACAGTTCAGGGGTTAGCTCAAGAAGCTACAGTTAAAGGATTAGCTGTGGAATGTACAGCTCTAAAAGCTACAGTTAAAGGATTAGCTGTGGAATGTACAGTTCAAGGGTTAGCTCTAGAAGCTACAGTTAAAGGATTAGCTGTGGAATGTACAGTTCATGGGTTAGCTCTAGAAGCTACAGTTAAAGCTTTAGCTGTGGAAAGTACAGTTCATGGGTTAGCTCTAGAAGCTACAGTTAAAGGATTAGCTGTGGAATGTACAGTTCAGGGGTTAGCTCTAGAAGCTACAGTTAAAGGATTAGCTGTGGAATGTACAGTTCAGGGGTTAGCTCTAGAAGCTACAGTTAAAGGATTAGCTGTGGAATGTACAGCTCTAAAAGCTACAGTTAAAGGATTAGCTGTGGAATGTACAGTTCAAGGGTTAGCTCTAGAAGCTACAGTTAAAGGATTAGCTGTGGAATGTACAGATAAGGTGTTAGCTCTAGAAGCTACAGTTAAAGGATTAGCTGTGGAATGTACAGCTCTAAAAGCTACAGTTAAAGGATTAGCTGTGGAATGTACAGTTCATGGGTTAGCTCTAGAAGCTACAGTTAAAGCTTTAGCTGTGGAAAGTACAGTTCATGGGTTAGCTCTAGAAGCTACAGTTAAAGGATTAGCTGTGGAATGTACAGTTCAGGGGTTAGCTCTAGAAGCTACAGTTAAAGGATTAGCTGTGGAATGTACAGTTCAGGGGTTAGCTCTAGAAGCTACAGTTAAAGAATTAGCTGTGGAATGTACAGCTCAGGGGTCAGCTCTAGAAGCTACAGTTAAAGGATTAGCTGTGGAATGTACAGCTCAGGGGTTAGCTCTAGAAGCTACAGTTAAAGGATTAGCTGTGGAATGTACAGTTCAAGGGTTAGCTCTAGAAGCTTCAGTTAAAGGATTAGCTGTGGAATGTACAGTTAAGGGGTTAGCTCTAGAAGCTTCAGTTAAAGGATTAGCTGTGGAATGTACAGCTCTAGAAGCTACAGTTAAAGGATTAGCTGTGGAATGTATAGTTCAGGGGTGAGCTCTAATAACTACAGTTAAAGGATTAGCTGTGGAATGTACAGCTCAGGGGTCAGCTCTAGAAGCTACAGTTAAAGGATTAGCTGTGGAATGTACAGCTCAGGGGTTAGCTCTAGAAGCTACAGTTAAAGGATTAGCTGTGGAATGTACAGTTCAAGGGTTAGCTCTGGAAGCTTCAGTTAAAGGATTAGCTGTGGAATGTACAGTTAAGGGGTTAGCTCTAGAAGCTTCAGTTAAAGGATTAGCTGTGGAATGTACAGCTCTAGAAGCTACAGTTAAAGGATTAGCTGTGGAATGTATAGTTCAGGGGTGAGCTCTAATAACTACAGTTAAAGGATTAGCTGTTGAATGTACAGTTCAAGGGTTAGCTCTAGAAGCTACAGTTAAAGGATTAGCTGTGGAATGTACAGCTCTAGAAGCTACGGTTAAAGGATTAGCTGTGGAATGTACAGTTCAAGGGTTAGCTCTAGAAGCTGCAGTTAACGGATTAGCTGTGAAATGTACAGTTCAGGGGTTAGCTCAAGAAGCTACAGTTAAAGGATTAGCTGTGGAATGTACAGTTCATGGGTTAGCTCTAGAAGCTACAGTTAAAGGATTAGCTGTGGAATGTACAGGTCATGGGCTACCTCTAGAAGCTACACTTAAATGATTAGCTGTGAAATGTACAGTTCAGGGGTTAGCTCAAGAAGCTACAGTTAAAGGATTAGCTGTGGAATGTACAGTTCATGGGTTAGCTCTAGAAGCTACAGTTAAAGGATTAGCTGTGGAATGTACAGGTCATGGGTTAGCTCTAGAAGCTACAGTTAAATGATTAGCTGTGGAATGTACAGTTCAGGGGTTAGCTCCAGAAGCTTCAGTTAAAGGATTAGCTGTGGAATGTACAGATAAGGTGTTAGCTCTAGAAGCAACAGTACAACATTACAACAGTAAATGCAGACAAGGGTATCAACTGTATCAGAGGCCGTATAAATAGCTTCGGTAGAATTAAACGCGTAAATTCGTTCATACCATCCAGTGATTCATAAACACACGCTTATGATATATGAATGTATATTTATTATTTTAATTCATTTTAAGCTTCATGTTCATTTCCTCAGAAATATATCGATTTTTAGTACCAAATTAAGGTATGACACTAATTATGACGTAATTGACCTCATTGGTAATAGTTCAGCCACACTTTCAATTGACACTGCCACCGAGATGATCCGGGAAACATTTGGTCTTCAGCAGCCCGTGCTTGTCGTAAAAGGCGACTATGCTTGTCGTAAGACGCGACTTACGGGATCGGGTGGTCATGCTCGCTGACTTGGTTGATGCATGTCATCGTATCTCAATTGCGGCGATGCTCATTATGTCAAACAGTGGATAGTCTGGTACATACTCGATTATTAACAGACCGTCGTCACAAAGCTGGAATATGTCTGAATGTTAAGTCAAATAAACAAATAAAACAAGCAATTGAAATTGTTGCTGATAGCAGCTGGCTGTGGATAATTCAAGTAACGATAGCACTCTGATCAGTCGACATATATAGGGTAAGGAATGCTTTAACACAAATTACAATACTGAATTGGTAGTTGTACTTGACGAAAGTTTAAGTACGTTGTTATATCCTAAGTCACCACGAAGCACATAAACAAGAGGAGAAAGAGTTATTTTGTTGTTTTTTTAAATTCAGAGGTTATAGTCCTAACTACATCATGTGATATTTTGTTCATCGTTACTCAACAGGAAATTGTTTAAGGATGTGTGTCTAACCAGCAGCAATTCACCCACTCCCTCCCACTCCCCCTCTGACACCCACCCTACCCTCCTTCTTTCCTTGTATTTGATTTCGGATTCCTTGTACTTGAACTCCTTGGCCTCTCATCAATATCGCTTTTCAATCATGCATCCATGACTCTTTTATCTTCCTGTTCGACCGGAAGAGGACCTGAGAAAAAATCGTTCAAGGACGGTGGAGACGTAATCATGTATTCAAATATTAGAAACAAGATGAACACTCTAACAAATATGTTAGCTGACATTTAAGTTCCTTTTAGAAGAAAAGTGTTCGCAAACAAGGAAGCTTTTCAGACATGACACTGCAAATGTCGTGCCCAGTCCCTTACACATGACCCAGGCAGTCGGTGCAACGTGGCATTAGTAAGGCTGTTAGGAGTTTGTCATGTCATGTCTGGTATATGTTTACACATATGGGTGATAGCAGGTTGTTTACTACAGAATAAATGTTCATGAGAGTTTCATGAATTTACGTCAAATGTACAGCTGGCTCTGGAGAACACCGTATCTCGAACTTTGAACACCTCTTGAGGAGGAAATCGGTATTAGCACACTATAGCTTTCATTGTTCAATCATGTATTCTCTAACAAGCCACGCCAGATACATAAAGCAAACCTATAACATATAACTCTCATTCACATTCTCACACATCATTCTCTAAAAATGATCACTATGGCCACAGGCAGAAGTATGGCTAATGCTTTGTTTGTTTGTTTGTTTGTTCGTTTGTTTGTTTGCACTCAGCAATGTTCAAGCGATATGACGGCGGTCATACAAGAAATAGTAGCAGTCTTAAGATGAATTTGTTGTCATTTAATAACCTCTAATTTGCACATGTATGTAAGTACATACAGGTTTGGTTTTGTTTGTTTGTTTGTTCTTTGCTAAACGCCTCACTCAGCAATGTTCCAGCTATATGACGGCGGTCATACAAGAAATAGTAGCAGTCTTAAGATGAATTTGTTGTCATTTAATAACCTCTAATTTGCACATGTATGTAAGTACATACAGGTTTTGTTTTGTTTGTTTGTTTGTTTTTTGCTAAACGCCTCACTCAGCAATGTTCCAGCTATCTGACGGCGGTCTGTAAATAATCGAGTCTGGCTCAGACAATCCAGTGAATGACATCAACAGCATCGATGGGACACGATGCAGTGCATGATAAGCCGTTTCGTAAATGGATGAGATTTCAAAGTAGAAATCGACACAATTAGGTAACCACTACCTCAGGCATCTACCATTGATACTACCCCGATCTGGATTAGAATTGGTTTTCGTCTAGCTTTACTTGCCGTAAAAGGCGACTATGCTTGTCGTTAGGCGACTAACGGGATCGGGTGATCAGGCTCACTGACTTGGTTGATGTCATTGCATCCCAATTGCGTAGATCGATGTACGTGATGTCAATCACTGGATTGTGTGGTCCAGACTCGATGATTTACATATAGCCGTCTCACAGCTTGAATATTGCGGCGTTAAACAACAAACAAAACTATTGATATTATTATTTCGTTGTTGTTATTTGTTTATTATTGTGTTTGCTTCTTTCTCCAGACCTGTATGCCACGGTGAACAAAAAGAGGAGCAGAAGAGAAGGTTTGGCCTGTTATTTTTTACTTGTGGGCAGTAAGTCTCAACTGAGGTGATGCTTAAAACATGACGATGTTATTACGCCCTGACTGATGCTACCTAACGGCGTGACCATTTGTCTTTGTCTCTGTGGGTGGGTGGTTGGCCCGGTAGTCTAAAGCGTTGCAATTCGCTGCGCATAGTGTCGATCCTCGGGCACGCCAGAAACCTATGATTGTGGGTTTGAATCCCGGTTCGCCCCTATTATGTTTCTAGGTTTGTCGGCACCATACCCGTGCTCGTGGGTTTCACCGAAGTGGTAAACGTCTGAGACCTGTATCACTTCGGGCTTTCCTCCCACATTAAGCTGACACGCCGTGATATAACTGGAATACTGTTAAAAGTGGCGTTAAACCCAACTCACTCACTCACTTTGTCTCTGAGGGTGGGTGGTTGCAATTCGCTGAGCATAGTGTCGATCCTGGGGCGTGCCAGAAACCTGTGATAATGGGTTCGAATCCAAGATTCTCCCTGGTTATGATTCCTGGTTTGTCAGCATCAGATCGGAATTGGTAAACGGCTAAAACCCGAAGGACTTCGGTATTTGGTTCAACCTTACCGCCCCCTTTCTGACTGATGAAGGCGACCGCCTCCGTGGCCTAGTGGTAGAGCGTCCGCCCGGAGAGCGGAAGGTCGGGGGTTCGATCCCGGGCCGCGTCATACCAAAAGACATTAAAAGATGGTACTTGTTGTTACCCTGTCTGGCGCTCGGAATTTAGGGTTAAAACAAGGACTGGTCGGCTCGGAGTCAGTATACTATGTCTGAGTGGGGGTATTCATGTTAAACAGCGGCATGGTATTTCAGTGGGCTTGCACTAAAAATCGGCATCAGTCCGGTCTAGTACCATCTTCCCGAGGCAAGTGAGTTAACCCTTGCCGAACTAGACTGGTATTATGGAGTTACATTTTGGCTGGACTAACGAGTCTATGCATAGTCCAATCAAAATCGCGCACCGAAATCAAAATCCGGTTCGTAAAGTGTCATGCAGATTTCGGTCGAGTGCAGGATTTGCAAAGCATGTTCACCGCTAACTCGTTGTCAACATATATTTTCTAAATCTTTTCATGCTTTTAATCAAAGTGCTCACGTGATTTGATGCACTTCGCGATGTAAGACTCGTTTTATCACAATATAGATCTTGATTTTCAATCAGATCGTCTTGACTGGGCGCCATCGTTTTGTTTGAAGCAAATGCAAGTGATACGAGAGGTTGAATCTGATTGGTCAATAGGAGAGGCATAGAAAGGACATAACTGGTAAAAGCCACTGGTGGCGCTACGATCAAGCCCAGGAATTCCAGCCTAGTTCGGCAAGGGTGGAAACTGGACTTTTAAAGTCAGTTAACTCTCTTGCCTCGGGAAGATGGTCTAGCAGCCACACACACACACACACACACACACACACACACACACACACACACACACACGTCGCTATATAAGTGCAATAATCTTGGACGCGACGTTAAACCCATTTTCACCTCACCTCACCTTGCCTCACCTCACCTCACCTCGCCTGATGAAGGTACAAATAATCTATAATTCCTGGTTCTCCCCTCTGCAGGGTCTGATGTGTATGCCACAGTCCGGAAGGTTGTATCCAAACAGTTCGTGAACAGGGCGTTTGAAGGCGCAGCGCCTTCGGTAAGTCTGCATTTACGTTTATTGGAATTGTTGTGCTGTAAAACGTTTGCTGAAAAAAAGTATAATCTATTGCCATTAGTCTGCGTTTCGTTAAGCTGTGTGTGGACCAGTGGGAGGGGTGGGGGCAAGCAACGTGAAAGAATGAACGGAATTTATAAAAAAATAACATGAGTGAGTGTGGTTTTACGCCGCTTTTAGCAATATCCCAGCAATATCAGGGCGAGGACACCAGAAATAGACTTCACACATTGTACACATGTCGGGAATCGAACCCGGGTCTTCGGCGTGGCGAGGGAACGCTTTAACCACTAGGCTACCTGACTGCCCCAAAATAGATGATAATGATAAACAATATGTTTTTTTCTCAGATTATTGAGGAGATCTCTAAGATAGATCATATTTATTTTGTTATCTCCAGCATGAGAGAGCAGTTCTCATCAACTTCCCAGACCAATACAAAGCAGAAGGCAACAACTGCGGCGAAACGGTAGGTCCAGTAACTGTAGAAGGTGGATTTATACGTATATTCACTGATAAACTTACTCTAAAAGAAAGTTAGACGGTTGTTAGTGAAGTTTGTTACGCTTTCAGAACGAAGACGGTCTGACGTATGCCGACCTTGACCTTGCCCCGCCCACCATGATTGACGGCATGTCCGTCATACACAGCAGGGAGGAGTCCGTGGTGTATGAGGAGATAGACTTCTCCCTCACCCCCGGGCCACAGCTGCCGGACAAGATCTGGGAGGTTGAGGAGGAGGAGTGGGAGGAGGAGCGCCGCAGGCAGAACTTCTGGGAATGAAGATGAACAAAACCTGAGAACATCAAGGTTTTGTTTCGATGTTTACGAGATTATTGCATTGAAATATTAATTTATTTCTTTGACGTTTTGAATTCATATTACGATCTAAAGTTAATCTAAAGTTCAGAATCATTTTCATTAGATTTAAATTCCGGCACCTCCATGATGAAATATATATCAACTTGACGTCATTAGTTATAAAACAAGGGGCACGGGTGACGTACCCAACCATACCAAATTGAGGTTTAAGTCAGAGTGAGTGAGTGAGTATAGTTTTACGCCGCTTTTAGCAATATTCCAGCAATTTCACGGCGGGGAACACCAGAAATGGGCTTCACACATTATACCCATGTCGGGAATCGAACCCGGGTCTTCAGCGTGATGAGCGAACGCTTTAACCACTAGTCTACCCGACCGCCCGGTTTAAGTCAGAGATAACTTTCATGCCATTTGTATGTGGAGATGACACAAAAGGGAATCTGTACATATGTTAGCTTTCACATCATTTTAAAAAACAACAACACTCAACCAATATGTTTATTATTTGAGATAAAAATTAAGAAAATACATATTTTATGTATATAAATATGGATATATCACCCACATATGAGGAATAAGGTTGTCTACATTATTATCATATTACACTTTTGAACGTTTATTTTTCCTTTCTAATGTGCTTTTAATTTACACAAAGTTAACAATACAATAATACACCCAAATGTGTTTATTCAAGGTTGTGTCCGAGCTGTATTGACATTTAAGTTTTATACGGCACTTTAAATGGCGATCAACTCTTACTTAAAGCCTATATATTTCAGTTGACATTATGATTTTGTACGTGGTGACAGTTTTGGAGGCATATTATAAGTAATGATAAAAATGATACTTAAATAAAAATTATAATAATAATAATAATAATAATAATAATAATAATAATAATAATAATAATAAATTAGTTGAAGGCACTGCGCTGATCAACCCTCTCGTAGTGAATCTGTACATATGTAAGCTTTCACATCATTTTAAAAAACAACAACGCTCAACCAATATGTTTATTATTTGAGATAAAAAAATAAGAAAATATATATTCATATATAGTGTATATAAATATGGATATATCACCCACACATGAGGAATAAGGTTGTCTACATTATTATCATATTACACTTTTGAACGTTTATTTTTCCTTTTTAATTTACACAAAGTTAACAATACAATAATACACCCAAATGTGTTTATTCAAGGTTGTGTCCGAGCTGTATTGACATTTAAGTTTTATACGGCACTTTAAATGGCGATCAACTCTTACTTAAAGCCTATATATTTCAGTTGACATTATAATTCTGTACGTGGTGACAGTTTTGGAGGCATATTATAAGTAATGATAAAAATGATACTTAAATAATTAGAAAAATAATAATAATAATAATAATAATAATAATAATAATAATAATAATAATAATAATAATAATAATAATACATTAGTTGAAGGCACTGCGCTGATCAACCCTCTCGTACACAGTTATGAATCTGCCGACTTCTATTTCGTCTAATTACCCAAAAGGGATCCTTCCGTTATCACGAATCGGTTGTTTATTTCCACTGATATTGATCCAAACAACAACGGGAGCAAATGATTACATGGAAGATTCTAAAGTGAACAAAGCCAGTTCACTCTCATGTATTTTCGAAGCAAAGACCGACAAAGAACGAATCCGGGCTTTCGGCGGGAGAGGCGAACGCTTTACCCTCAAAGCTACCTCAATCACCCCTTTGTGGTAAGAAATATTATTTTTTGAACAGTTTAAATATGGTAGAAGTAGTAGCTGTAGTAGTAGTTGTGGTAGTGGTAGTAGTAGTAGTGATAGAAGTGGAAGTGGTAGTGGTAGTGGTGGTAAAAGTGGTAGTGGTAGTAGTAGAAGTAGTAGTGGTAGTGGTAGTGGTAGAAGTGGTAGTGATAGTGGTACTGGTAGTGGTAGTGGTAGTGGTAGTAGCAGTAGTAGTAGTAGTAGTAGTAGTAGTGATAGTGGTAGTGGTGGTAAAAGTGGTAGTAGTAGTGATAGTGGTAGTAAAAGTGGTTGTGGTAGTGGTAGTAGTAGTAGTAGTAGTAGTGATAGTGGTAGTGGTAGAAGTGGTAGTGGTAGTGGTAGTGATAGTAGCAGTAGTAGAAGTAGTAGTAGTAGTAGCAGCAATAGTAGTAGTGAACTAAAGTGGACAAAGCCAGTTCACTCTCATGTATTTTCGGAGCAAAGGCCGACAAAGAACGAATCCGGGCTTTCGGCGGGAGAGGCGAACGCTTTACCCTCAAAGCTACCTCAACCACCCCTTTGTGGTAAGAAATATTATTTTTTGAACAGTTTAAATATGGTAGAAGTAGTAGCTGTAGTAGTAGTTGTGGTAGTGGTAGTAGTAGTGGCAGTAGTGATAGTGGTAGAAGTGGTAGTGGTAGTGGTAGTGGTGGTAAAAGTGGTATTGGTAGTGGTAGTGGTAGTAGTAGTAGTGGTAGTGGTAGAAGTGGTAGTGGTAGTGGCAGTGATAGTGGTAGTAGCAGTAGTAGAAGTAGTAGTAGTGGTAGTAGTAGTAGTAGTGATAATGGTAGTGGTGGTAAAAGTGGTAGTAGTAGTGATAGTGGTAGTGGTGGTAAAAGTGGTTATGGTAGTGGTAGTAGTAGTAGTAGTAGTAGTAGTAGTAGTAGCAGTAGTGATAGTGGTAGTGGTAGAAGTGGTAGTGGTAGTGATAGTAGCAGTAGTAGATTAGTAGTAGTAGTAGTAGTAGCAGCAGTAGAAGTAGTGATAGTGGTAGTGGTAGAAGTGGTAGTGGTAGTGGTAGTAGCAGTAGTAGAAGTAGTAGTAGTAGTAGTAGTAGTAGTAGTAGCAGCAGCAGTAGTAGTAGTAGTAGTAGTAATGATAGTGGTAGTGGTAGTGGTAGAAGTGGTAGTGGTAGTGGTAGTAGTAGTAGTGGTAGTGGTAGAAGTGGTAGTGGTAGTGGTAGAAGTGGTAGTGGTAGTAGAAGTGGTAGTAGTAGGAATGGTAGTAAAGTTAATAATAGTATTTAGAATAAATCAATCAATCATAAATACATAATATTGTAAATAATAATAATAATAAAATAGTTTGATACAGCGTCCTAATATTCCTTGTGCGACATGACGGAAGTCGAGTATATAATAGGCATTAGATCCATTACACAATGCATTTACATCAACAACCTTGATCTCGTCGAGAAAATCTGATCTCGTTTGTGCCCACAGAAAGTAATACCCACACGTTAATGTGTGAATCTATATGTAAATGTTTTGTTTTATGGTCATCTGTATAAGTTTGGCATTTTGAAGTCAATATATTATTTTAGAATTGGATACAGGCGCCTCGAATGCTCAAAATTGTTTGTCTGATATTTCCATCATGTAGATGGTACACATTTACTTCATCCTTTATTTCAGCAGGATCATCGTCATGTAAATATATGTATATGCTATAAGTTGTGGCAGGATCGCGAGGGGTACGTGGGGGTTTTATGCCTCCGTCGTTAGGTTTTATCCCACTCGTGGGACGCATATACCCCCATGTATCCTGAGTGATTCTGCTACAACGAAATTATCTTACCGACATGTCATAATATGACACTGTAAGAGAATTAAAACAAATTCAAAATTGATAGAAAACAGCTGTTCGATTGAGCTGATGTAACCTTATAATGTCACGTGACTTTCATCGAAGAAGATGGTGGTCTTTTGCTTCGAAGCGGGTAATAAGGGATTTGTTCTGGCTGTCAGAAATTCACGTGCAGCCTGACTTGTTCGTGACGGGGTATAAGGGACTTATTCTCCCGCTGATAAATTTATTTCCTTCCCAGGCGGGATACATAGTATTTTATCAAGATCACGTGAACCAATTAGATCTCATCATTCTGACATGGAGGTATGATAATGAAACATGTTCAATTGTCAAGTGAACAACTTGATCTCCCTACTCCCATGTAACTTTGGCTTGAAGATGTGATACTTGTTTTGTTATGTTACAGGTGTGTCTGTACCTATCGAATACCCACCATGACTGTTTGACTGTATATATGGAATACCCACCATGACTGTTTGACTGTTCATATGAAATACCCATCATGACTGTTTGATTGTTCATATGGAATACCCACCATGACTGTTTGACTGTTCATATGAAATACCCACCATGACTGTTTGACTGTTCATATCGAATACCCACCATGACTGTGTGACTGTTCATATGAAATACCCATCATGACTGTTTGACTGTTCATATGAAATACCCATCATGACTGTTTGCCTGTTCATATCGAATACCCACCATGACTGTACCCATCAAATACCCACCATGAATGTACCCATCAAATACCCACTATGACTGTACCTATCAAATACCCACTATGACTGTACCCATCAAATACCCACCATGACTGTACCCATTAAATACCTACCATGACTGTACCCATCAAATACCAACCATGAATGTACCCATCAAATACCCACCATGACTGTACCCATCAAATACCCAAAATGACTGTACCCATCAAATACCCACTATGACTGTACCCATCAAATACCCAAAATGACTGTACCCGTTAAATACCCACGTTGACTGTACCCATCAAATACCCACGTTGACTGTACCCATCAAATACCCACCATGACTGTACCCATCAAATACTCACCATGACTGTACCCATCAAATACCCACCATGAATGTACCCATCAAATACCCACTATGACTGTACCTATCAAATACCCACTATGACTGTACCCATCAAATACCCACCATGACTGTACCCATTAAATACCTACCATGACTGTACCCATCAAATACCCACCATGAATGTACCTATCAAATACCCACCATGACTGTACCCATCAAATACCCAAAATGACTGTACCCATCAAATACCCACCATGACTGTACCCATTAAATACCCACTATGACTGTACCCATCAAATACCCAAAATGACTGTACCCGTTAAATACCCACGTTGACTGTACCCATCAAATACCCACGTTGACTGTACCCATCAAATACTCACCATGACTGTACCCATCAAATACTCACCATGACTGTACCCATCAAATACTCACCATGACTGTACCCATCAAATACTCACCATGACTGTACCCATCAAATACTCACCATGACTGTACCCATCAAATACTCACCATGACTGTTTGACTGTACGTATCGAATACCCACCATGACTGTTTGACTGTACGTATCGAATACCCACCATGACTGTTTGACTGTACGTATCGAATAC